AGCAGTAGCAGTAGCAGTAGTAGTCCCTGGCCTGGATCGTTGAGCACTGGCGTGAGGTCCTTGACGGTCTTGGAGGCGAGTTTTTGCATGATGCCAAATCCAAATGCCAACAAAGAATGCCACTGTTAGAGGGATGCTGTGAGCCAAAAGCTGGCGTGACGTCTGCAGCAAAGACCGAGTGTTGCAAAGCGAGGTGGGCCGAAAAATATTTTCACTAAGTTGCAAGCTAGACTGCGGAGTTGTTCTCATCCAGATGAGGGATTAGGGATCTGAACCATTCAGAAACTACAGCCCCAGGCCTTGGGCTTCTTTTGAAGGTGCAATGGGACTTTCACTCCACCAGCGTTTTGCGTTGAGGGTCAGGGTTTAGGTTTTAGGGTTTAGGGATTAGGGTTTAGGTTAATCCTTTCCTCCTTTTGTATTAGTCGGGAAGGGAGGGTGGCTTGGACTCTTCTGGCCTATGTGACGTGTGGCTTCTGTTTGCGGGGTCTGCGGTCCGTAATATGTCGGCTCACTGGCACAGCGATTGGGATAAGTATGTTGACAATGACCCTGTGCACTTGCAACTACCCATGAAGGTCCATAGCAGCCATAGCAGATAGCAGCGCTCTTTGGGGAGACAGAAGACACATAGCTGCGATCTATAGTAGTATAAGGTCTTCTGATTGGCCTTATCATTTCCGATTATGGGGCGTATTGAAAAAGCCACCTGCAAGAAAAAGCAGCAACACACCGAACCCAAGCTTCCTAAACCTGAAACTTGAAACAAACAACCCCAAACCCTAAACCCTAAACCCTAGACCCTAAACCTTACCCTGCCAAAAGCCCAAAGCGCACACAACACCCTCTAAGAGCGCTCAGTTGAAACCCTCGCGCCCCCTAAACCCTAAAACCCTGCAGCTATAAACTGCCAACCCCATAGAGCCATTCAAATCGTAGAAATCCTAATTATAAACACCCTAAACCCCAAACCCTCAACCCTCAGCCTTAAATCCTATGAAAACCTAAACCCTAGACCTCGAATCCAATCAGAAAAAACAAACCCCCAAAACCCTAAACCCCATACCCTAAACTCTAAACCTAAAATCCTAAAAAAAAACAACCCTCAACCCCAAATCCTAAACTCTCTTTGGCCTACAATCCCTTTGGGCTTTGCCGGGGACCCGGGCGGAGTCCCAGGTACCTCAGCTTGGCTCTGTGGGAGGAGCTCTGCTTGGTCTCTTTGTGCCGCTTTTTGGTTGTTTACGGTTTAGGGGTTTAGGGTTTAGGGTTATGGGTTTAGTATGGGGTTCATGGGTTTATGGGTTTATGGGTTTAGGGTTCATGGGTTGTGGGTTTAGTTTAGGGCTTAGGGTTTAGGGGTTAAGGGTTTATTGTTTACGGGTTTAGGGTTTAGGGGTTATGGGTTTAGTTTAGGGTTTATGGGTTTATGGGTTTAGAGTTTAGGGTTCATGGGTTATGGATTTAGTTTAGGGCTTAGGGTTTAGGGGTTAAGGGTTTATTGTTTACGGGTTTAGGGTTTGGGGGTTATGGGTTTAGTTTAGGGTTTATGGGTTTATGGGTTTAGAGTTTAGGGTTCATGGGTTATGGATTTAGTTTAGGGCTTAGGGTTTAGGGGTTAAGGGTTTATTGTTTACGGGTTTAGGGTTTAGGGGTTATGGGTTTAGTTTAGGGTTTAGGGTTTATGGGTGCCTTTTCATACTGTGACTTCGCAAAGTCTACAACTTTGTATAGAGGCCTTTCATGCTTGTGTATCGCGTCAATAAAACTTTAACCGTGTTCTACCTCGCTGATGGGCTTGTTTTAGGGCGCGTTTGAGCTTTCTTGCGAGTCCTCCGTTTAGTCTTTGACAAGGCCTGCCTCCTGCAAAGCACCCCTACACCAAAAAACTCTAAAAGCCCTGAAGCACTGAAAGTCCTTTACCCGAAACCCCTGACAGAAATCAAGGCTCCCGGCAACAGCAGATTCATTTCTATGCCAATTCTGCCCTTGATAGAGCTATGTATAGCTGCGTTGGAGCCTTGAAGTAGCCCTGCTTGCGCAACTCACTGCCGTTTGTTCAACGCTTGGGGAACAATCCTACCTTTCTCTGGGCCCTCAAGAAACCAGAGCTTGCAACGACCCTGAGGGATCCGCAATGTCTCCGTGGAAAGTGGGAGGCGGCTCATGGTTGCGAATGCAAGCAATATAGAGCTACACATGCCCAAGCTATGAGAAGGTTACCCTTCTTGTAAACTTACCAACAGGCTGCTTGCTCAGTTAAACGATACTTCAAACATCGCAAACTGATGTTTACCTTGAAGAACAGTAAATGCGCACCTTATACAACTTATCGCAGCACCTAAACCCTAAACCCTCCAAACCATCTAACACCCCAATACCCCGTTAAACCCCGCTAAACCCTGTAGACCCTCCAAACACTAAGTCCCAAGCCCCGATGTAGGGATGCTGGGGGTGTGTGTCGGAACTGTCCTCGAGCTTTGAAACTGTAGGGTTTAGGGTTTAGGGTTTAGGTGCCTTCTGGGCTTAGGACCCTGCATCCACAGGAGCTAGAGCTCAGAGCACAAAGTTTTGGGGCTCAGGGTTTCAGTCATTGCCTTCGAAACCGCATAAAGCTCTGAGAACCAAAGCTTTATAGGAGACTTAGCAACTCGTTGTCAGTTCCTTTAATACACAGATACTGTAAGGGGTTTAGAAGGTTCTGAAAAACTTGCGGAACAGGGCCTTTCGAACTAGAATAGTTGTACTTTGTTACTAAGTCTACTCGGAACCTCGACGAATAGTAACAGTATCGGTATTTCTTCAAGTTGACAACAACTCAAAAGAAAAGCCCTGAACCCGATAAGGTTGAGATATGTCGGGGGTGTGGGGGGTGGTCCCTGCATGTCAGGCACAAGGCGGCCACGACCTCTTGGAACGAGGCACGCGGCGCATGGGAACCCTTAATCCTACAACCGGAAAGCAACAACCAAAACCCTAATCCTGGCCCCAACACCCGATAGACCTTAAGCCCTAGACCAAAGGCCGAAATCCCTAACCCTAAAACCCTATACCCCAAAGGGCAAGCCAAGAATGCTGAGATCCGGACTGCCTTGCCTCTCGCGAGACAGCTTCAGCCCCTGGAAGAGCCTTGAAAGGGAGAAGGGGTGGAGAGTTACGGGGTTCAGGGCTAGACCTCGAGTTTTTTGGGGGGTAAGGGGTTCAGGGGTTTAGGGGACCCTAAACCCTAAAGCCTAACCCTTAAGCTAGAGTGTCCAGGGTTTAATGCTTAGGGTTTAGGGGAAGGGTTGAGAGTTTCGGGCCCAGACAGCTCAGGCGAGGGCAGGCATGATGAAGATGGGGATGAAGACCGTGACGACAACGATGCTAGTACTTATAGGGTTTAGGGTTTTAGGGCTTAGGGTTTAGGGTTTAAGGTTTAAGGCTGAGCATAACCACGGATACGGATACTCCTGCGACGGTGAACTTGCTGCTGATGCTGCAGCCGTCTGCCATCGCCGCTTCCACGGCTAGTGGTGCCGTCTGCGGTGGTGGCGGTGAAGACCATAATCAGTCATCAGGATTATGAGCGTCAGACCCTTCACGATCGCCTTCCACTGATTTCGTGGGGAGCCCGACACAGTTTCGGAAGTTAAACAATGCAACCCACCCACTCATTCATTTTTCATTCAGTCTTTACATTCATTCCTCCGTTCATTCACCTGGCCATCCATCCATCCACCTACCCACCCATCCATCCATCCCTCGATCCAGCCATCCATCCATCCCTCCAGCCAGTCAAAATAGTTCATTACTCCGGTCATCCTTGCATCCATCCGTTCATTGATTCAACCACAGCTTGAATCGTTGAATATCCTTCCTGCTTTCGGAATAGATAGATACAAAGAATGCACATGCAGGAAGCTACGAAGATAATCAGATAAGTATGGACACGAGTTCAATATGAATATGAATATTCAAAGAAAGATGAACATGACTATGAATGTGCTGATATGTGTACCAGGACTAAGTAAATAAAGAATGGAAAAATCTATGCCATAAGGTCAGGCAAACCTTAAACCCGACACCCTTGACCCCAAACCCTAAGCCCTCGACCCCAAACCCCCCAACCCGGCTTAACCATTAGCCTTCACCCTGAAAGGCGCGTCTGAGCTGAGGTGTCTGCTTCTGCGCGCCCCGTGCAGCGCGGACCTCTGGGTTGAACTCGGTGTGCGGTTCCGAGTTTAGGATACCAGAGTTTAGGGTTTAGGATACTAGAGTTTCGGGTTTAGGGTTTAGGGTTTAGGATACTATAGTTTAGGGGTTATATAGGGTAGAGGGGTTTCGGTGTAGAGTCTAGGGTTTGATTCTTTTTAGGGTCCATATGTAGGGTTCTATATATGGTTTTGCGGGGCTTCGATATTCACAGTCAAGTCTCGCTGAAGGCCCCTTTTTACCCTAAAATTTACGGTTTTGGGTTTTTTTCGGGTTTAGGGTTTAGGGCTTAGGGCCTAAGTCCTGAGATCCGAGATGTACTGCTGATGATATAAATCCTGCAGTACCTTAACGGACCCTAAAACTACGGGAAATTATGGGTATATATTCCTTATTATGGGGTAATATGCAGGATACATATATCATCAACCGTAGTATTGAAGTTCTAGACTGAGAAGCCTTCGTCTTTCTCATTCGGCGCGCCTGCAGCTGAGAGTTCATACTCCAAACCCGGAGCCCTACCATAATGATTGAGGCTTTCGGGTTTGGGGTTTCGAACCTTACCGAGTAGAATTGTAATTATTCCGGCTGTCTAATCTGTAAGTCTCCTAGGTCCGAGACCCTGAACCCTACCTCCCAAAACGCCAGGCCTAAAAGCCCTCCACCACATGCTTGTGAGCGAGCTTGTGGTTACCCAAAACTCATTCCGGGATGTCTTGTTCAGGATCGTACCCCGTCTCCGAAGTGGACGGTTATTCTCTAAATTTGAATCCTAAGCCCACGAGATCATGGCTTCATAGAGACGGTAAAAAAATCTCACTGAAGGGGCCAAAGACCCTAACCCTAAACTTTCCCTAAACCCTAAACTTTCCATAAGCCCTAAACCCTAAATCGCTGTTACTTCTTATTCCGACCCCTTTTTAAGAAACCCTTGGGGCCCGGGAGTTCTTCATGGGAGGCTACAGCTGCCGGTCAGATCCAAACCCCGGGGCCTGAAAAGACCTTCAGGGGCTCACGGTTTAGGGGTTTAGGGTTTAAGGTTTGGGGTTTATGGTTTAGGGTTTAGGGTTTAGGGACCTCGTGCCCTAAAGTACATCACTGGGACTTTAAAGTGATGACATACTGTTGATGATATAAATCCTGCATTACCTGAAGGACCCTAAACTATGGGAACTATGGTATATTCCTTGTTATGGGTCATGCAGGACTTATAGCATCAACCGTACGGAGGATATACCATGAGCATATGCCGCGGAAAGCGGAGTGACCGTGGGTCCGTTTTGCGTGGCCAGCGTGGCGGAGTAGATAATTTCTGGGAATAAAATGATACTACTCTATAGCTCTCGGCGGAGAGCTTGTGAGATCTTGTGTGAGGGGTCTAGTTAAGGGGGAAAGTGGGTTGAAGAGTCTCATGTGTTGACGTCGAGGCTAATTGTAGTATCAGATCAGAACCCTATTACGAAACCCTGAGACCTACCTTAACCCCAAAGAACCTACCTTTTTAAGGACTTAAACTTATATAAGGAAATCATAATCAGGAGCCCTAAAAAGGTAGGTTCTTTGGGGTCCAGGTAAAACCCTAAACCCAAAACCCTAAGCCTTAGACGGCTTAGTCTTGGAATGATCTCCCCCACTTGGGAGCGCCGCTCTCCACCAGAGAGAGGAGATCTCCATGCTGGCAAAGAAATCCGAGGCCCCTGCACGTTTTAGGGTTTTATGGGTTTTTAGGGTCTAGGGTTTAGGGTTTTAGGGGTTTTAGGGTTTAGGGTTTAGGGTTTAGGGTTCAGAGCCAAACTACCTACAGTCTCCACTGTAGTTCCTTTTTATGGTGTAACCAAATCTATTTTAAGGATCCTAAAAGGTAACCCCAAAAAGGAACTTCAACGGAGACTACAGGTAATATACACATCGGGATCGACCCGCGAATTCGTTATACGGGATCCAAGCACGGGGATTCATTATTCTAGCAGGGCTCTGGGCTTTTGGGGTGTCTTCGGGGCCGAGTACCTTAGCCCAAAAATGGTTAACCTTTTGAATTATAATAGGTTTATATGTGCCCCAAAAGGTTAAAGGTTGCCTACTCAGCCCAAGGATACATTAGATTGGAGAACAAAAGTTTAGGGTGTAGGGTTTGGGAAAATGCAAAGCCATAACATCGAAAGTAAATGTCAGACAAAGGTACATGCAGCATCTGTGCCTTAAAAAACCTACCGTAATTCTTAGAATCCTAGAATCCTAGAAGAAATGAACAGGGTTACGACTCCGAACTGTTGAAACTTTCATTCGGCGCAGTTTCGGACACAAACTTTGTAAGCCTAACCCCAACTGCTAAATCCCCAAACCCTACACTCTTACACCTGATCCCGCAAACCTGAACCCCAAAACTGTCCCAACATCCCCTGAAACCCTACCCCAAAAGGGTTTGGGTTTAGGGCTTACGGTTTAGGGTTTGGTGGTTTAGGGGTTTATATTGCAGCTTTCATGCTCTGTAGCTTCCAGAATCCCGGATCCTGCACGCCAAAACCCCCCCAAGACCTGTGGAGCTGAGATCCCAAACCCCCCCCCTTCCCAAAAAAACAACTCAAACAGTCAAGCAGAGACCAGGGCTTTTTTAGGGTTTCGGCCTAGGGTTTAGGGGTTTAGGGGTTTAGGGGTTTAGGGTTTAGGGTTTAGGGTTTAAGGTTTAGGTCCCTGAAACCGCAGACCACAAAGTCACGTAGAAGCAAGCCTGAATCAGAAGCAGATACTGCTCCGGATCCCTGACAGCTGCTGGTTGATATTTTGTATAGTGTACCGTACTCCAGAGCCCTATTATTATCATAAAGGCCCCTATACTGCGGTCTAATTATAATTGGAATAGGGTTTTGGGGCATACGGAGCTATGCTTATAATAAGGAACCCCACAATAGTATTGGTAATTATTTAGGCCTCTATATATTAAACCCCAAACCCTAAACCCTAAACCCTAAGCCCTAAACCCTAAACCCTAACCCACCCACATCTGCAGTGCTGGGACTTCGGCTCCCCGGCGCACTGGCAAGCTCCGTGCGGCCGCGCTCCGACCTTCTTCGGGCTTTGTTTGGGGCTGTTGGGTCCCTAAAACAGCGAGCTGTTTAGGGTTTAGGGTTTAAGGTCTAGGGTTTAGGGTTTAAGGTTTAGGGTTGAGGGTTTAGGGTTTAATGTTTAGGGTTTAAGGTTTAGGGTTTTTGAAAGCTCTCCGGTAGTTCTCTAAATTGGGGTCTCTTCTGGGCTCCTTTTACAAGGGTGCCGTACTATATTGGAGACCTAGAATGGGAGCCTAATTTAGAAAACTGCCCTCTCGTAGCTTCCAGGTTTGGCGAGTATCGGGCTGCTAGGGCCTTCGAACCGCCTAAAGCTCAAGCTTAGAGGTTTACGGTAGCTGTCTTTACCCTACAGTTCAGCAGCCACTACCCCTTAATTAGCAGGTAGAACCCGTTTTTTCTGCCCTTCCAAAAAAACAAGTGGAACCAAAGTCTGAACTACAAGAAACCCTTGTGACCCCTCAAGACTCACGGTTTAGGGTTTAGGGTTTAGGGTTTAGGGTTTAGGGTTTAGGGTTTAGGGTTTAGACTCCACCTCAAGCCTGAAAGCAGCAACCCCCTGCAAGTAAACGCCCTGCAATCCAAGACTTGAGCCCAAACCCCAACCTAAACCCCCCAGAAGTAGGTAGAATAATGGCGCAAAACCCATAAAAGGCTATTATTCTACATACTTTTGGGGTCTAGGTAAACCCCTAAACCCTAAAACCTGGGGTAAACCCTAAACCGAACTCCGCAATTTCACCAAACTTCAGGTCTTAACTCGAAAAAGCATGCCGAAGCAGCATACGGAGCAACCTCAGATCCATCCAAAGCAAAGGCAAGTTGAAGTCACTCAGGCGAAATCCAAAGTCCCAAATGCTGAGCACCCGAAGACGCCCTCTAAGACCCCCGGGGGGGGGGGTTCAAGGTTTAGGGGTCAGGGCTTCAATAAACGCTGAAAAATCCCAAGTCGACCAGAACGGAAGATTTAAGTTAAGCATCGAATAACCCAAAATCACAAACTCCCAAAACTCTTCAACCCGTTAGCCGGAACAAAACCGTTGGGAACGAGATTCCAAGCCTCAACAGTCCAATCACCAACATCCCAAGACCTCAAACCGTAGTCACTGTCGCCAACCCCGAACAACATTACAGCCCCGGAAGCCCCGAATCACAAACCCTACGAAGCCACGAAACCCTATTACCACACCACCACCCTAGAGGCACACCCAGAGAGCCCAATACCCCCTAAACGAGGAATATACCTTAAATTATAAGGGCCTTAATATTATGCTTTAAGGTATATTCCTTAATTCAGGGGTATTGGGCTCTCTGGGCACACAGCCACCCAGCCCCCCCAACAAAATGCGATCCCAAGACCTTCAACTCAAAACCCACCCCCTCCCCGCCCCCCAAACCCCACACCCAACACAGAGTCTCTGTTGTAGTTCCGTTTTTTGGGTTTAACCAAATCTATATTAAGGATCCTAAAAAGTAACATACCCAAAAAGGAACTACAATGGAGACTATAGGAAATATACAAAAAAAAAGCGCGAGGGCCCGGCTGCCGCAGGTCCCGGGAGACCCGATCTAAAGCCGCCTTCCGGGTTCGAGCTTGAGCTTAGAGTGCAGGGCGTGGGGTTTAGGGGTCAGGGGTTTAGGGTTTAGGGTTTAGGGCGTAAGGTTTAGGGGTCACGGGTTTAGGGATGCTGAAGGTTTGGGGTGTAATTAGGGTTCGGGGCTTATTTAGTGTAACTAGGATTTCGGCTATTGTGTAATTAGGATTTCGGATTTTGTTTAGGGCTTCCAGCTGTGAAAACAAACTCAGAGCGCTGCACCGTGCGCAGAAAACGCAGCCGTGCAAGGAATAGCCCGTCACATGCACGATAAGAGTTCTTTTTTTCTGCGGAAAGTGTCTCCGCAGCAACAGAAAACTTGCTTCCCAGACAGCAAGCGAGCGCAAACCACTTCTAGAGCAACAGGGGCCCAGTGCTTCCTTGTCCGGGGGCTGTTGCTGTGCAGACTGACCCAACTCAGGGCCTAGGGCAGATTCTAAGGTGATCATACAGGGATCAATTATTCTGACCCCTACCATCCCAATGCCACAGGTCTAGAAACACCCAGTGGGCTTGAAACTCGCATGAAGGGCAAACCTCTAAGTTGAAAAGCCCTAAGCCCAGCTGGCCATCAACCACGGAAGGCCCGGCCTCAATGATTCTGCTGGGTTATATTATGGTATACCTCAAACTACCAAAATCTACTTTTTGTAGGGTCCCTATATATTCTGTATTGTGGTTTATAATAAGAACCTACAAAAAAAGTAGGTCATGATAGGTTAAGGTAGTTGTTTAGGGACTACAAGGGGAATAATGCTGTTAGTTCGTCAGGATTTCCGATTGGTGCTGAAAGGTCCCAAACGCAAAAGGCACGTTTCCTGGTCGCCGGCTCTCGTGTCAAGGGGCTGATTTGGGGGCTAGGGGTTAGGGTTTAGGGTTTGGTGGGGCTAGGGTTTGGTGCAAGGGTTTAGTTGGGCATTATTTGGGGTTTGAGGTTTGCGGATTGGGGCTTCAGGGCTCATCACGATGCTCGCGTAAGCTGCCGACTTGAGCAATGGCGACTTTCATCCAACCTTGCCTGCGCCAACAAAACTTTCTCAAACCATAAGGCCTTAAAGCCCCAAACTTCCCCAAACCCCACGCTCCAAACCCTGAACCCTGAACCATCAAATCCTCAAACCCACAGTCCCAAACCACTAAACCCAGTGAGACCCGAAACCCGCAAAGTGCTAAGAATCTCTGAACCCCACGCCCATCATAAGACAAGCGGCTCATGGTACTTAGCAACGATGCAAACATAAAGAGCATGAAACAACAAAATCGAAACCAGAACAAGACACCAAGATACATAACACCACTGCGAAACCCAAGACCCCAAATCAAACTCACACTCCTTGAGCCCTACGCCCTCGAATTCTGGGCGAGCGACCACATGCTGTTGATGATAGAAATCCTGCATTACCTTAAGGACCCTAAACTATCGGAAATTCTGGTATATTCCTTATATCATGGGTAATACAGGATTTTCATCATCAACCGTATGGAACCTAAAACGTAGGATCCTTGCAAGGCCCCCCCAAACATACACCCTGCGACTTAACATCCCGCCCCCGTCTCCGGTCCCCTTCAATCGAGCCCTTCATCCCCCTAGACCCTAAACCCTAAACCCCTAAACCCCTAAACCCCTAAACCCTAAACCCTAACTCCTAAACCCTAAACCCGAAGCCCTAAACTCTCACAGAAACGCTTCTGATGGGGGACCGAAAAAGACCCATATAAACAAAAGGGAGCCGACGTTCCGAGAAAGAAGGGCCTCGTAACGCTGGAATCCAACAACCCTTCCTATTGGGTTTTATGGGTTTATAGGGTTTGGGGTTTTAATTTTGGGGCACCCCCAGACCCTGAGAGGGTGTAAATGTTTAAACCCTTGTTCCCGCCCTTTTGAGGCCAATGGAAAATCCCCTTCAACCCTAAAGCCCGAACCCCAAACCCTAAACCCTGAACCTCAACCCTGAAACCCAAGCCCTAAACCCCGAACCCTAAACCTCAACCCTAAAACCTGAACTCTAAACCCCCAAAACCCTCGAAAATTGTTGGGTGCTCTCCGCTCTCGGCCTTCTGCGCGACGATCGGGTCCTGACCGAAGTAACGTTCCACGAACCACTTGCATGGAATGACCTCGAGGTTGCGAATGTGGGGGAGGGTTTCGGGTTTAGGGCAGTTTAGGGTTCTTGAAGTAACATGTGTTTCTGCGCTCAAACGGTCCCTAAGTTCAGGGTTTGGGGGCCCTAAACCCCTAACCCCTAAACCCGAGACCCTGAACAGATTTAGGGCCCTAAGTTTAGGATTGCGGATTGCTTGCCTCATCAAGGTGGAAGAGGGGGCTTGGGGTCTAAGCTCAAGGGCTTAGGATTCGGATTCAGGGTTGATTTGGGGTCATTATGGTTTAGGGCTTCGGGTTCAGGGTTTAGGGTTCGGATTCGGGGTTCCGAGTTTCAAGGTTCAGTAGGGCTTCGGGTTAAAAGTTTCGGCTTGATTGTTGCAGGTTTGGGGTTGAGGATTTAGGGTCATTCTGGTTTAGGGCTTGGGGCTCAGCTAAGCCCCTAAGCCCCTATGCCCTAAGCCCCTAAGGCCCTAAGCCCCGAAACCCCTAAGCCTCTAAACCCCTAAACTCCAAAAACCCCTAAACCCCTAAACCCTAAAACCCTAAAACCCTAAACCCCTAAACCCCAAAGCCCCTAAGCCCCTAAACCCTAAAACCCTAAACCTGTAAGCCCCCAAGCCCCCAAGCCCCTAAACCCCTAAAACCCTAAACCCCTAAAACCCTAAGCCCCCAAGCCCCTAAGCCCCGAAACCCTAAGCCCTACTCAGAGTCTGACCATGAGGCCCCAGGGAAGGAAGTTCAGGATCCCGAAGAGCACCACTCCCAGGTAAGAGCCCATGGGGCAATGGTAGCCTCGAGGACGCTTAGCGTTGTTTAGGGTTTAGGAGTTTAGGGTTTAGTGTTCAGGGTTTAGGTTTAGGAGTTTAGGGTTAAGGGTCCCGGGTTCGTGTTTTAGGCCGGCTGCAGCTATGTACTTTGTCATTGGGTACAGATCTGGCGAGGTCGGATGGAGATGAAGGCCGTGATGGTTGTGATGGTGATACTGGAGATGGTGACCACGGTGATGACGCAGGTGATGGTGCTGCTGGCGTTGGGCGATGGTGGTGATGGTGGTGATGGTGGTGATGGTCGTGATAAAGATGATGAAGGTGATGGCGAATGGCGATGCTGAACATGGTGATGATAATGATGCTTTCGGCTGCTGATGACGATGACTCTGGCGTGGTGATGGCGATGACAGTTGATGGCGATGACAGCGGTGATGGTGGCGAAGAAGACGATGGCTGCGAAGATGACGACACCAATCGTAACGATGACAAAGATGATGATGATGGTGGAACTTGTTGGTAGATGGAGAGGAGGAAGAGGACGAGGCCGAGGAGGAGGAGCAGGAGGAGAAAGAGCAATGAGGACAACGGTGGTGCTGGCGGCGATGATGTACCTTGTACTACCTGGTAACCGGCCGTCGGTGGTCGGCAGTCGGAAGTAGGCAACAGCCAGCACTGGTGGCAGCAGTAGTAGTAGTAGTAGCAGTAGTAGTAGTAGTAGTAGTAGTGGTGGTAGCAGTAGTAGCTTTAACAGTAGTAGTGGTAGTACTGAGCAGCGGGAGCAGGAGCGGCAGCACTAGCAGTTGTTGTGGTTGTTGTTGTAGCGGTGCTGCCATGGCCGGAAGCATCCGTCCGTGAACCCCAAACACCCGAAGCCCAAGTCTACAAACTCAGAACCCTAAACTCTACAGTAGACTCTAAACTAAACCCGAAACCCCAAACCCAAACCCATCACTCCGAGCAGAACCGCCCCCGCCCCCATCCCCAAACCTGACCAAACTAGCAGAAATACAGCACGAGACGAACCCTCCGTTGAACCTTACTATGCCCTGAATCCCACGCCCTCGAGTCCAGGGCTCGAGCAAACCATAAAGCCTCAACCAAAAACCTATAAAGAATCCTACAGACCCCATTTATTAACAGCCTTAAGCTGCAGAAACCCTACCACAAGTCCAGTCAAACCCAACTACAGCCCACAAAAGCGCCCAAGCCATAAACCTTACACCCTCGAACCACAATAAAAGGAAGACCCCATACTAAACCAACTTAAAAGGGAATAAAGGAAACACCCTAAACCCTAAACACCCTACACTCTAAACCCTAAACCCTAAATCCCTGAAACCCTAGACCCTAAACCCTAAACTCCTAAACCTCTAAATCACAAACCCTAAACCCTAAACCCCTAAATCCCTAAAAACCCTAAAACCCCAGACCCCTGAACCCTAAACCCTAAGAGACCCTAAACCCTAAGAGCCCTGCACCGGCGCTGGGCTCCCGGGCCGAGTTGGAGGGCCCCTTGTCGCTCTGCGGCGACCTCTAAGAAGAACTCAATCCTGCGAGGGTTTGGGGGTTTATAGTTTATAGGGCTTTGGGTTTAGGGCTTATAGGGTTTAGGGTTTAGGGTTTATAGGGTTTATAGAGTTTATAGGTTTTATAGGGTTTATAGGGCTTATAGGGTTTATGGGGTTTATGGGGTTTATAGGGTTTATATGGGTTTATAGGGTTTATAGGGTTTATATGGGCTTATATGGGTTTATATGGGTTTAGGGTTTAGGGTTTATAGGGGTTTAGGGTTTAGGGTTTCATAGGGTTTATACCTGGGACTCCAAAAACCTACCTGTTCAAGGGTTAGACGCTGTGATTAAGGAGTCATAACCTACTATTTTGTAGGGTTTAGGGTTTATATAGGGTTTTAGGGTTGTCGCGGGCCTCGCAACACGACTCACTTACCACGAGGCTCTGATTCGCTCTCGACTGGGTGCACCTTCTGCTCTTCTTTGGTTGCCTCCTCCTTTTTCTCTTGCTCGGTGCGCGACTTTCTTGTGCGCCCTGCTTCTTTGTCGCGGCACTCCTGGAGCTTCTTTCTGGCCGGACGACGTTTCAAAAGGAAGCCCTGTCACGTTCTGGGTTCAACTTCATCCAGCTTGGCCTCTTCGGAGCCTGCCTCTTGCTGCTCTTTCAGGGCAGCCCTAGGCTTCTGGAGGTTGGCGTTGTAGTCCTGCTTCTTCTTTTTTTTTGGTCTGATCGAGCTTGCAATACCCCAGACTGCAAACCACTTCGGCCCCTGCCTGCCTCGAGCGCTCGGGCTGCCCTTTTGGCCTCGGCCTCCCGCTTCTGCTTCGCCTCCCGAGTGGCCTTCTTGGCCTTGCTTTTCAAGTTTTTCAAGGCATTCTTGTCCTGAGGGTCGGCCAGCTTGTCTTTTCGGGAGTGGTACCCCACCTGCGCAGGTCGTCGTCTGGGTTTCCGGAACTGGCGCCTGCCGGTTTCTGCCTTGTGCTGCTTCATGAGCATGACCAGGAACGGCCGCAGCATACCCATGAAGGGTTCCAGACGAAGTTCCAGAGCTTCACGTGGGAGTTCCAAGGCATTGGCCTCGGCTGCCCGTGCTAGGTCTGCAGCTCCAAACAAGCTCTGGCAGCGCTAGAGTCTCGGGCCACCGTTACGAACAGGTCCGTTATCGTCGCTGGGCAGACTTTGGGAAGGATGCGGACCTCGGCGATGCGACGTCGGTGACATACATCGGGGCCTGCTGGGGCCGATATCTGCGGTGCGTCGCCGTCCCATTCGCCGCCGTCTTCATCGTGAATCGTGAGACTGCTGCGCAACGAGCGATCATCATCACGGATTCGCTTGAGAAGGACGCTTGGCTTCATGCCTGAGCGGACGTGTAGCATTGACCGGCCGGCGTCAGCATTCTCGTGGCATGGGCCGGTCGATTGCTTCCTTCCGGATGACACGTTCTCTGGTTGGCTAGGGTTTCTAGCTTAACCTCATGGCTCCTCCTTCGGGGCTGCAAAGACTCCTCCACGTGCCCCTGCCACTCCTGATCCACACTGTGGCAACCGTGCATCCGTCAAGCAAGCAAGCCCCTCGGCTGCAAAATGCAAGCGCATTCGACGGCTCGGTTTACATGGGAGATGCGCTATAGGGTAGGCGTGGGCCCCCAAAGGTTCTTGCGTGGAGAGGATAGATATAATATCTCGCTTCATGTTTTGGAAGCGTTTTTCCGAGCCTTAATAGACGCTTTCGGTGATTTTGTTGCGGCACTGACCGCTCCTGCCATTGACTCGCAACTTCTTTAAACGTACTTCAGAGAACACTCGCTCCGAATGGGATTATCCTAGATATTTTCCGAACCTCCATGGACGCTTTCCAAAACCCTCTAAAACACCCGACTACCTTGTATAAACACCGAAAACCTCCAGGAGCAAGAAAAGTAAGAAAATCTAATATCTCCCAAGAATATAAAACAATGCAGAAGAAAATAAGCTAAAAACCCCTAAACCCTAATGAGTAGTTCGGGTGGCCGGGGTGGGTTTACGAGCAACGCGAGCACGCGGCCCGGGGTGCAAAGACCCGGGCAGGGCACCGACCAGGATAGCACCCTGCCTGGAGCCTGGTCCATGGCTCCAGCCGCCAGAGGCAGGGGCCCCTGTGCCCGCGGGCCCAGGCAGACCCTAAACCCCAAAACGACGCCCTGAGCAAATGGGACACGGTTACTCTTTAGCTACGCTAAAGGTAGTCTGGGTACGGCCGTCCCTTTTCCGAGGACGGACGTTGTCGTAAGCAAGGCCAATAACCGTTGGCCTGTCCAGGACAGACGGTGAGGCTTTACCCTCACCTTTCCGTCTCTCTGTTCGCATGGGCGCTCGGGCTGTAAGGCCCTCGACCAAGCGTTCGGGGTCTGTCGCTCGACGGATGCGACTCCTCACTTAGATTAGGGTTTAGGGTTTAAGGTTTAGTAGGGTTTATACCTGGGACTCCAAAAGCCTACCGTTTTAAGGGATAGACCCTATGATTAAGGGGTCATAAGCTACTATTTCGTAGGCTTTATTTTTTAAGGTTTATAGGGTTAGGGTTTATATAGAGTTTAGGGTTTATAGGGTTTAGGGGGTTTAGGGTTTGTAGGGCTTATAGCGTTTATAGGGTTTATAGGGTTTTTAGGGCTTATAGGGTTTATAGGGTCTTTAGGGTTTATTGGGCTTACAGGGTGTTTTGGGGTTTATAAGGTTTATAGGGTTTAGGGTTTATAGGGCTTAGGGTTTACGTAGGGTTTAGGGTCTATATAGGGTTTAGGGTTTAATAGGGTTTATAGGGCTTATAGGGGGATTAGGGTTTATAGGGTTTAGGGTTTTAGGGCTCATAGGGTTTTGGGCTTTTGGGGTTTAGGGCTTAGGGGGTTTAGGTTTAGGGGGTTAAGGGGCTTAGTGTTTATATAGGGCTTAGGGTTTATAGGGTTTAGGGTTTAAATAGGGTTTAGGGTATATAGGATTTAGGGTTTAGGGAGTTTAGGGTTTATAGGGTTTATAAGGTTTAGGGTTTAGAGGGTTTAGGGCTTATAGGGTTTAGGGCTTAAGGGGTTTAGGGCCGATAGGGTTTGGGGCTCTACGTTTTAGGCCTTAGGTTGTAGGGAGTTGGGTTTAGGGTGTAGGGACTTGGGAGTAGAGCTTACAGTATCGGGCTTAGGGTACAGGGATTTTTTTCATGTCGCTTCGACATTAAACATAACATACAAGCCCCACAACAGGTAATCACAACCCTGACAACCAATGCAACACAAACTCAGAAACAAAGAAACTGTACAGGTGAAGAGCCTAGATAGCTGGGGAAGCCCGGCTTGCCCTCAACAAACATTGAAGAGTATGGCCGTGGAAAGCATGCAGCAATCATCTATGTAATATGTTTCTGTGTAAATGTATATGTCTGTAATAACAATAATACATATGTAACATGTTCTCTCAGACTAGATATTGGAATTCCCGGGCGATTGTTCTTGCACCCTCCAACCACA